GTTCACAGTCGTGGCAGATGGCAGAACAAGGAGCAATGGGCTCAAGTTGCGGTGGGAGAGGTCCAGGTTGGATATTAGGAAAAACTATTTCCCTAGGAGGGGGGTGAAGCACTGGAATGGGTTCCCTAGGGAGGAGTGGAGTCTCCATCCCTACAGGTGTTTAAGTCCCAGCTTGACAAAGCCCTGGCTGGGTTGATTTAATTGGGATTGGTCCTGCCTAGGGCAGGGGGCTGGACTTGATGACCTTCTAAGGTCTCTTCCAGCTCTATGGTTCTATGATTCTATGATTTGGACAGCTGCTAGTGCAAAGGGACCCAGGAGTAGGGCTTGTAGGCAGAATTCCCTATAAGTTATGCATTTGTGCCCTTCCCGAGAGATTCGCATGCCACCCAGCTGATTAGCAGAGCACTCACAGCTAAGTTTTGCTCCTGAGAGATTCGCATGCCACCCAGCTCATTAGCAGAGCACTCACAGCTAAGTTTTGTTTCTACTGGTGGTGCACATTTACCCATGTCGTGGGGCACATAATAAAATTATTCCACACATGGATGGAAAAAGATTGGAGGGGACACTGCTCATAGGTGCTACGGGAGTACGAATCAATAATAGTGACAAGACAAATAGATGAACTAAACAAGGTGATGTCGTGGGGGAAAGTACGAATCAGTAATAGTGACAAGACAAACAAATAGATGAACTAAACAAGGTGATGTCGTGGGGGACAGGGAGACGTTTATTGTAATACAAGCACGTTTTTGCATCGTTTCCTTCACTTTGCCAAAAAATGGGACCTTGTTATAATGACATTCTGATGACGGAACTGTGAACAGTGGCAACCTGGAATCGAGGTTATTTTATTTTAAAAAGGGGAAAAAATGGACGCGCCACATGTCCTGTAAAACCCAAATGTGCCTTATCGGCACTTCATAATCAAGCGGCGCAAAGGAAATTACAGAAGCTTTCCAATTGACCTTCTACAAAAGCCCTTTTATCACAGCGCGGCTTTGACAGAGACAGACACGCTCAAGTGCCATCAAGAGTAAGGGCAGGAGGGACCGTCCGGGGGAGGGGGAAGGGGTTGCTGAAGGAATTAAAGTGGGAAACAGAGGAGCTGCTCACCAGGACAAATCAGACTCACTGGATCTTAGGGGATGGGGATGGGAATGGGCCAACGTTGGCTTTCAACTCTCTTTGCACCTTCTGCTTTCTGTCTGCTCCAGGGCTCAGCATGGCTGCTCTGTCTTAAGGATAGCTGTATTGCTAGCTCCTCCTCCTGCCTGGGTCTGCCGTGCACCTGTTTTAACATAAGAATATAACATCAGAACGGTGAGACTAGGTTGGACCAAAGGTCCCTGCAGCACAGCATCCTGTCTGGCATCAATGCCAGATGCCCCCAGAGGGTGTGAACAGAACAGGGAATTCTCCGTCTTATTCTTTAATCCTTTCTTAATGCTTTCTGTGGGTTAAACCAGTCTTACTTCTTCCCCTTCAATCGTTTTCTAGACATCCTGGACGCCAGAATGGGCGGTAGAAGACAGCTCACTTGGCCACAGTGGGAATTTTGAACTCCAAGGGGACTCTGAATACACAGACCCGTGATTTTTGCCAGGCAACGCAAGGAGACTATCACGAGCTTCGCACGGCCCGTATCAAATAGGAGTGGTAACGTCACATGCTTGTAACCCCGCTTACCCAGGTTATATGCTTGTAACCCCACTTACCCAGAATGGTTTTCTGCCCCCTGGCATAACCCCTCACGGGCCTCGGTTGCCCATTGCTGGTTTGGACAAAAGTCTTCTTATTTCTTCCTTCCCTGTTTGCTTCAGACCCACACCCAGCAGAAATGGCTTCAATCTCCTCCCCCATCCATGCTGCTAGGCTACTCTGGACAACAATGAGAGGACGACATTGTAATTATGCTCCTTTGTGGTCCTGTGCTGCACGGCCTTGAGGGGAAGATTCACACAGGGTTGTGTTCCTGGCAGCAGTGTCAGAAAACCAGCTCGGGGGGAGTGGCAGTAAATTGGTCTGGTAGGACGTTCTAGTGGGCATGGGGGAAGCGGAGAATCTGCCAGGAGGAAAAGGCTGGATCTTTTCTGTTTTAGAAGTCAGCGTAGTACATTTGATTAAAAATAAAGCACAGATGGATTTTCCCCAGGAACGAAATTCATCTTCAGTGTGTTGCTGAGTGACAGTCTCTTGTATATGAAGTTATACTGGTTAGACATCCCGGATCTGGCACCTCAGCATCCAGATGAGGGATTTTGCCATACCAAGAGAGGTAATTTCCGGTTAGACATCCCGGATCTGGCACCTTAGCATCCAGAAGAGGAATTTTGCCATACCAAGAGAGGTAATTTCTGCCTGCCCCCTGCTGTCGGCTCCATCCCCTGCTCTGCTGCCCCACCAGCTCCCACAGGCAGCCTCGCTGAGCCGCATGCTGGGTTCCCCCTCCCCTACATCATGCTGGTCTCCTCCCTTGCATTGGGCCAGCCTCCCGGCCCCATGCCCTTTGCAGTGCGGCAGGATGCTCTGATCCTGGACCACGGAGGTTGCCGGACCAGAGCGCCCCGGTTTATAGAAGTGCGGCCTGTCGTACAATAGCAAGGAGCGCTTGGAGGGATTGTGTTGAGTAGGGGTTCATGCCAGCATGGGTTTGCGGGGTGTGGCACAACATCTGTAGTATCCCAGGCTCCTTGTCTCCTTTCCGAGTTGCCACGTCAACAAGCCACTTTGGTGCATGCCGAACATTGCGCGTGCGCGTCACGGCCTTGCCGTCGGCAGTGCTGCTCAGATGTGTCACTAGTTGCACGCTCGCTCCCTACCTGAGTCACAGGCCCCGCCACGCGCCGTGAAAACTAACGCAACTCCTTCGGGCTTTGTTACCTTTTTAAATGTCATGCTGCAAGGAGCCGTGAGTCACCCTGGCTCGGCAGATGGTCGGCAGGGACATAAAATTAAAAAAAAAAAAAATCGAGTGGTTTTCACGGGCATGAAAATCCCTTTGCTCCCTAAATAACCATAAGTGTTGCGTGTTTGTCTAACTGCCGAGGGTGTAGGTGGCTTCTTACGCTACTCGGCTGGGTTGAACTCACTGAAATGGACGGGGTATCACTTCTGAATAAGCCCATGTTGGCTGGTGCGTGCACGTTCCATGCATAGAATGTGCGATACCCTCCCTAAGATACTGCTCTTACCGCTGGATGTGTTATGGATGCTGCGGCTCACATGGGTTAATACAGAAACAAGCCTGAGAGCTGACCGGTAATCGGCTGAGCACCGGGGAATGGCGTTGTGGATGCAACACTTGTCAGGTGTTTGTGGGAAGGTGAGATTCCCGTTGCAGTCTCTATGCCAAAGGAGAAATGGATGCAAATCAGACATCGGACATGGTAACACACGCAAATCTGGAGGGGAACATTTTAACCTGCCTGGGTGCTCGATCGTGGATTTAAAAGCAGCCGTTCTTCTCCAAAGGAATTTCACCAGCCAATTACAGAGAGAGACGGCAGAACTGGAATTCATCGGCAGATTCGACACAGTCACCCTGGGCTTGAATAAATACATTAATTAGTTAATGCACTACAAAGCCAGTTTCCCCTGCCTTTAACATCCGCATTGTCCCATCAAAAGCTATGTTTGGGACACATCCAGCCGACTTGATTAGCTTAGTTAGCCCTACAATTGGCAGGCACTTTTTTTTCCCGTTATAAAATACTTGATATCTGTTATTTCTCTCCAGCTCATCATCTGAAAAAATGGGTTGTGCCCAAAAAAGCTTGTGGAAAATGGCAAAGTGGAAAATTTCGGCTTTTCGTTAGAAAAGTGAAACTCAATTTGGTTTTTTTTTCTGTCAATTTTCTGATAAGCAACAAAAAAATTTCAGCTGAAAATTTGTTTGCTCAGCTGCGTTTCAGCAAAAAGTCAAACATTTTCAAAGTGAGCGGACATTTTATGCAATTTTTTTCATTTGATCTCCCCTCCTCTCCTCCCCCCTCCCCGCTGCAATTTTTCTCTTGGTAAAAAAATTCCAAAGGAAAATTTTCAACCAGGGCAGTTTATATCCCTGTCAGTTCACCAGATGTGCCTTGAAATGGCCACTGGTCACTTGGATCAGACCATAATGTAACTATTTACTAGCCAGATTAGCTTTCAGCATCTCCTCCATCCTTGGCCAGTTTGGCCCTGCAATCAGGTAGGTCTCAAACAGCTGGTGGTTTTTGAGACATGTCGGGCCCTACCAAATTCACAGCCATGCAAAACGCACCGCGGACCATGAAATCTAGCCTTTGGAGTGCTTTTACCATACACTCTGCAGATTTCACGGGGGAGAGCTGCGTTTTTCCAATTGGGGATTCTGACCAAAAGGGAGTTGCAGGGGAATCACAAGATTATTGGGGGGGGTCACAGTATTACCCCCCTTATTTCTGCACTGCCTTCAGAGCTGGGTTCCTGGCCAGCAGCTGCTGCTCTCCAGTTGCCCAGCTCGGAAGGCAGTGCTGCTGTTAGCAGCCATGCAGAAGGAATAATAGCAGAGCTGTGATCCCTCCTAACGCTTCTGTAGTTCTAAGAGGAGGGGTCACGGTGAGGACTGGGCAGCTCTAAGGACTGACTGCCCTTGTCCTTGTCCCTTCCAACCTTGGCCCCGCCCCTTCCACCCTTGGCTCCTCCCCTTGACCGCCTTGCTGCCTTTGATTGGTTCCAGGAATTCTTTCAGGGTCCAAAAAGGGCAATCAACATCAGTTTCTCGCCACTTATCATATAATCCTATCTGGTCATCTGCCACTTTATAGGAAATCCATAATAGGTCTGTTAATTACTAATTTACCGAGTTACATTCCATTTTCAGCTTCCGGTAAGCCACGGGAAGATTAATGTTTCCTCGCACCATTTCATTAGCAAATGAATACGAACCTGGCCCGTACACAGACAATATCCATTTTTAATCTGTTTTATAACTAAAAAAAAAAAAAAGCAGTGTCATTGGAAGAGTTACAGCTAAAGCCATATAAGGTGGAAGCCTGGCTCTTGGCAATTTTTTTAAAAGCTACTTTTGAAAGCCCCAAAGTTCCATCTGGCATAAGAAGGGGATTTCTAAGGGCTGTGATGGACAGAAAGTGAGACTAGATGAGGGCAGAAGTAAGGAAGCTTGGGGTTAAGGAGGCAGCGGTAGATGTGATACATCTTGGCTTTAATAAGGCGTTTGATATAATCTCCCATGACCTTCTCTTAAGACAAACTAGGGAAATGTGGCCTTGACAAACTTGCTATAAGGAGCCTTTAACGGGGTCAGCACTCACCCCCTGCAAGCGCCCCCGTTTGGCCAAGTGTGGGTTCTTGCACTACCTCGATGTTAAATGCCTTGCAGCCAAGACCTACAGCCTTGTGTGAAGGCACCAACCGCTTCCAGGGTACACCTCTGCCTGGAGCCCACCCTGGTGCCCTCTGTCGAGTGTCTCTCTGAGTCCAGTCCAGTCTCTCAATCTGCATCCCCATTCGGTAGGTTTCTCCGCCTGGCGACAATGTTCTAAGAGCTCCCCACTCTGAGCTGTCCCTGGTCCTGCCAGCCAGCTCCCTTGACCTTCTCCCTGCCAGGTCTGGGCTACAACTGAGCTACTGCTAGTCCTGCAGCTCCTCTTGTAGTCCCTCCTGGCTCCTGATTGGCTGGTTTCCTCCTAGACCCTCTAGCCACCTGGAGGGCTTCTCTATGGTCCTTTTGGCCATTACAGGGCCATACTTGGAGAGAGTTTTCAATGTTTCGCAGCAGGGGGGGCGGACAGAATTGCCAGGTCCCTGGACAAGGTGAGGAGTGACTCCATGCTCCTGGAAGGGGCGGGGCCTTGGCCAGAAGGGGAGGGGCTGGGGCAGCCAGCCCTTAACGCTGCCAGACATGATGCCGTCTGGGGCTCAAGTGCTGATTTAAAGGGCCGAGGACTTTGGCCACAACTGCTGCAGCCCTGGGCCTCTTTGAATTACCGGGCCCCAGGGCAGTTGCCCGTTGGCAAGCGGGGAGGGCATATCATGGGTCTGGTTCCATTCAAGATCACCATCAATGCTTTGGATAATGACGTAGAGAAACCACTCGAAAAGTCTGTGGATGATACCATGCTGGGAGAGGTTGCCAGTGCTTTGGGGGGCAGGGTTAGCCTTCGAAATGCTCTTGGCCAACTGGAGAAATGGTCAGAAATAACTCGGAGCCCATTCAAGAAGGAGAAAGGGGAAGTCCTGTATTTAGGAAGGAAATAATGAAGTGCACAAATTGAAAACGGGAAATGTCTGCCGAGGAAGGAATGCAGAGAGACAAGGTGGGGGAGGTAATATCTTTTATTGAACCAACGTCTGTCGATGAGAGAGACAAGCTTTTGAGATTACTCAGCGCTCTTCTTCAGGTCTGAGAAATTCACTCAGCTGTCCCTGTGAATCGCAGAGGAAGCAGCATGGCAGAAAAGGATCGGAGGTTATAGCGGATCACAAATAAAATGAGAGTTAGCAGCGTAATACAATTGCATAAAAAGGCAACCATCATTCTAGGATGGTAAGAACATAAGAATGGCCAGATGGGGTCAGACCAAAGGTCCATCCAGCTCAGTGTCCTGTCAGCCCACAATGGCCAATGCCAGGTGCTCCAGAGGAAGTGAACAGGAAATCATCAAGTGATCCTTTTCCTGTCATCCATTTCCAGCCTCAGACAAACAGAGGCCAGGAACACCATTCCTGCCCATCCTGGCTAGT